GGTGGGGCAGCCGTTGTAACTATACTGAGATCTTAGAACTTTTATCTCAAGGTGGGTAGCGCATTTACGTTGTAGATGTCTATGGGCTCCAGTAACCACTTAACACCAGGTGGGCTGTAAGCTCGTCCACCCATCTAAGCAATAATAAAAACAGAATACTTGAGCAGAATAGCTACAAGTACCTACTTGGTTCAAACAAAACCTATACCATTGTATCAAACCTAAACAGAGACCCCCTAACAAACCCCAATCAAATAATATATACACGTATATGTGGGTGTAGGGAGACTGGCTGACAGAATCCATTGCATTGTGCATTTGCATGCGCAGGACGCCAATCGATGCCTGCGTGGCGTGGGGGCGACACCCTGTGGGGTGCGACCCCTTTCGCTGACCAGCCTTTGATTATAACTAGCCGGTGTCCAGGAACGAGGAAGTGACTCGACAGTTAACGATCGAACGTGTTATTATTTACGAACGAATTATTAATACCAACAAATCTATCTATCTATCTATATATATATAAAAATGAATTGCTGTTCGTTAGTCTCGCTAAAACTCGAGAACGGCTGGACCGATTTGGCTAATTTTGGCCTTGAATTATTTGTCGAAGTCCAGAGAAGGTTTAAAAGGTAAATAAATATGAAAATGCGCTCGGAATTAAATAAAAGTAACAATTTTATTTTTCCTTTGATGTGTCCCCCGTCGGACGGATTCCTTCTGTTTGTTTTAAGTTTATTTTATACAAAAATTTAGTTCTTTTATTTATTGATTGAGGCACTACGAAGTGTGCCGGGTCAACTAGTTAATTTATTTATTGTTAAAACTAACAAAACCAATAATACATTGATCGGAACTGATAATCATAATACGAGCGGAAAATATTCCCATTACATATTTATTTGTGGCGCATGAAACACACACGTGTGTTCATCCGAAAGTACCTTGATATATATAATAAATATAAATATAAATATTTAGTAACAATCACGCCACGTTAACTGGTCCCGTGCTAAGTTCGTAAAGAACTTGGGTTACAAGTACCAGATAACGGGAATAAATATAATATTTTTATTATACACATACATGTATTTAATATACACCCATAACCCTGGAAAGACATTTATATTTATCATACAAATATCTTCCCTTGGCGGGATTCGAACCCGCGACCCCCTTGTGTAGTGACCATGTCACTTACTACACCAGACGGCCGATATAAAACTTTCATACAAATTAAGTTTCAACAAACCGGTAACCAGATGTTTCGCCAACTCTCAAACTTCGCCACGCCACGCCATGACCGAGCTCCGATATTAGGGCATTACTTGCCAAACTCGAACCGTTGTTCCCCCTAAATATCTCTCAGACTCTTTATTAGAAATATGATAGCGTCTCTATATAGAGATAATCTGTATAAGTAGACCTATCTATACTAATATTATAAAGCTGAAGAGTTTGTTTGTTTGAACGCGCTAATCTCAGGAACTACTGGCCTGATTTGAAAAATTCTTTCAGTGTTAGATAGCTCATTTATCGGGGAATGCTATAATAGGCTATATAATATCACCCTAAGATCAATACAAGCGAAGCACCAATAAAGAATGTTTCAAAATAGGGGTTTAAATAGCTCCTTAATATTCTATAATTCAAAAATATTTTCACTTTCTACTTAAATGAAGTGGGGGCAAAATTTAGCGTTATGCCAACTATTTCACGCGGACGGAGTCGCGGGCAAAAGCAAGTATTACAAAATCGGTGTACATGACGAAATTATTTTCCATTGTTTTGAAATATTTACGTAACGATGAAGATTTGCGTTTTATTTATATTAGTTAGTTATTGGTCACATTTTGAGAAAGCCCGACACCCACCTATCAAAGAGAGCACTGACCTGGAAAGTGTCTGGTAAGAGGAAGAGAGGCTGCCCCAGAACAACTTGGCGTCGCTCGGTGGAGTAGGAACTAGGGGTCTTGGGCATGACGTGGGAGGAGCTAGAACAGACTGCCCAAGACCGATGTAAATGGAAAAAAAATTGATTCGAGCCCTACACCCCAGCAGAGGGTAATAGGAAAGAATGATGATGATGATGATGATGATGAACGTTAATTTTAATGTTGCACGTTACGATCTAAAGTAGTTTTAATTAAGTCTATGACACGCGAAAACCGATGGGAATTCATATTTAATTTGTTTATAGTTTCACCCACTTCTGATTGGTTGGTAAATGTGTGTATTTCTTGTGACAAAACAATAAATATTTGCGTTTTGAATATAAAAAACAATTATAATTAAACCCACATTTGAAATCGCTTGAGTTTTAGATACGTTTTGCAAATGAGGTTTTACTCCACTACGAAAAAAAAAGAGGAGTAGCTCGATTCAGGACATGTGTATTTTTTTCTCAATCGTGGCACCTGCTGAAATCATTCGATGGATGCTGTGTGTGATCGATCGTCCGTCAACGTCATTACGTATTCAAAATATTTGGTATTCGGAACCACGGGCTGGGAATTGTATTTTTGGAACAATAGATTTGGAACCTGGATATAGCTAGCCGTGTGTTCATTACCACAATCAACAGATTGCGATTTGGCCTCACTGTACTCGCACGCTTCACAAGACTCAATATAATAAAGAGCCATATTTGAGATTTCTGTAAAGCGGAGATCGCCGACATATTTACTTCAAGTGTCCAAACCAAATGTTTATCTTACATAGACTAGTATTGGCAAATGTAATAATAGAGGCTAGTGATACTTTAAGCAGTCACTTTTGTGATTAACTCAAAAACATAAAGCGTTAAGTATTGCATTTTATGTATACGTTCAAAATAACCTGGGGACGAATTAACGCTTAAAAAAAACATATCAATGCCCGAATATAAGACTTCACTCAAAGGACTCATTACCAGGCCATAAAATCTTTTTAAAAAAAAAACAGAAAAATTGATTATCGTCCCTGTCAAACTAAAATCTGCTATGAGTACTATGAGTAAAAACATTTTCGTATAAAATTTTATATGAAGGTGAATTTTTAAGAACTATGTATATCAAATGAAAGCTATAGTCGCTATAGATAAATATTAAAGCTATAGATAGATAACAGTTTTTTTATAGGGTAGATAGGGCTGTGAACTATACGAAAAGGTCAAAAAGTATTATAAAAATCTCAGAAAGTGCACATAGCAGATTTTGGTTTTTGGCAGGTTTGACAACGACGTTATGTTTTTGTTGAGAGCTACTGACTACGTTGAACAAAGTCGAAACGAGGCTAAAACAAAACAACAATAGATCCTAATTCAAAAAAAAGAGAAGGATTACGAAAATTCGAATTTAAAAATATTACGGCCATTAAAACAAAGAAGACGTAACTCCTTTGCAATATTTTCCAGAACTTTCCACTATCCAACAGCACGTGCTACATACATATATATCTGTGTGAGCAACGAACAAGTGACCGGAAAACATTTCCGCAAATATGGTGTATTCCACTTTCACGTAATAGAATTATTACTATGGAACATTTAAGTGCCTTTTTAGAAGGAAATGCTTGTTAGAAAAAGGTTTTTATGAAGAAAAAATGTAGAGAAAAATATAGCGTTGGTGCACCTCACATATTACGTGTTTTTTATCTTATTTCAACAAAAGCTTATGTAACACTATGCCAAACATAAATGATTGCAAAAAAATAATTACTTTAGTTCCAAAGATACAAGTCTAAAATTTCGTGAAATCATGACGAGAATGAGAAATTATAAATTATTATTTTAATTATTTATTGTTAGCTAGCGTGCTTAGTTTAATTACTACAACTAATTATATTTTCATAGATAAGAAATTGTTCTTTTCCAAATATGACAAAATTAAGATATGAATGTCTTATGTCTTAAAAAATTACCACACTTCTTCATTTGTCCTCCTGAAACTATTTTTAATTGTAATAAACTAAAGAAAATTTCTAATTAATAAAATAATTATAAAAAATACACGTGTAAACTATGACTCGCATAGATAATATAACTACAAAATTTTATTATTTCGAATGAACATATTTCTGAATTGTCATTCTCCACAACCGGTGTGTCTGTATGTACTTAAATATTATTTATGTCCCTTACGCCTTTTCACGTTACCAATTAAAACTAATTAGAGGTGATAATTATGTTACGACTTCAAAAATTATATTATAATTTACGAATACATTAGAAGTATTTTCTGTTTATTATCGTACATTATTTTATACGCAGCTGTAAATAGTATGAGGAAAACCTTTCGAAAAATAATACAAGTTCGAATTTACGTAACAAATATGTATAAGGTTAGCTTAGTGATTTAGTTAGTAGCATTTAGATAGTAGCATTGTTATTGGCAGACTCACAACCCATCTCTGGTTAAAGGGCGCTGGCTCATCTTTATTTGGTTCAACATTTATGGTTAAAGGTCGCTGGCCTATCTTTATTTAGTCCAAAATTTTGACCACATGTGACAAGAGCAGGCACTTGAGTCGTCGTGGCCTAAGGGATAAGACGTCCGGTGCATTCGTATCGAGCGATGCAACTGTGGTCGAATCCCACAAATTTTTTAAAAGAAATACGTACTTGACAAATGTTCACGATTGACTTCTGCAAAAATTATAATTTGCGTAATTACTGGTGGTAGGACCTCTTGTGAGTCCGCACCGGTAGGTAACACCACCCCGCCTATCTGTCTTGAAGCAGTAATGCATTTCGGCTTGAAGGGTGGGGCAGCCGTTGTAACTGTACTGAGACCTTAGAACTTATATCTCAAGGTGGTTGGCGCATTTACGTTGTAGATGTCTTTGGGTTCCAGTAACCACTTCCAATAACCACATCAGGTGGGCTGTGAGCTCGTCCACCCATCTAAGCAATAAAAAAATAAAATAAATAAGGCACATAGCAAGTATAGATAAACTAACATTTCCCATACATTATATGTTACGTAATATAAATTAAACTAGAACATATTGTATTGTTGCAGCCATGAGCCGGAAGGTGGCGGGCGGTGCGGAGACGGCGCGTTAGCCAGAGCAATGCAGCCCGCTCCGACGGGCGGCTCGCCCAAGCGACATGCACCCATTCAGACGCACGGTAAGATAACAGCTTCGCTTCCGATTTACTCTTTTTAATAATACGCTTTTATTAGCTTCAGACGTGTGTATGTAACGGAATCTTTGAACATATGATATTGACCCCCTTCAAAACGTCGGATTAACTCGAAATTTGATATACTTATTAAGGACCGATGACAATTCGATATTTTAAAAAAAATTGAAAACAAAAACATTGAAAAAATTGAAATTCAACTAAAAAATGACAAATAAATAATAGGTAGTTTAAAAAAACTAACACAATACGCTTTTATAGAAAATCCAACTAAAAAAGCATGGAGTGCATGGTATCAGTAGTTATAAATATTTTATGAACAGATATGAGTAGAAGGGTTTATTTTAATAATATCCTGAAAAGCACCCCACGCTTTTTTACAATAAAATCATTTTTTCTTACACTATTTTTAATTTAAATTTATTAAAATTTATTTTCTATTTTTTAGTTGGATTTCTATAAAAGCGTATTTTGTTAGTTTTTTTAAACCCCTATTTATATGTAATATATTTCACTCAAATTCCAATAAAATTAAGATTTTTGTGCAAACAGCGACCGAGTTAGTGGTGAAACAAGGTAACAATTAATATTTTAAAGATTCGTGGACGATTAATTAGCACAAATATCTGATCCAGGCGAATTCACTCTCGATGCGACGAAGGGCTCGACGAGCGAATTAACCCACAGACACAGCCCACTGAGTTTCTCGCCGGATCTTCTCAGTGGGTCGCGTTTCCGATCCGGTGGTAGATTCTGCGAAGCACTGCTCTTGCTAGGGTCAGTATTAGCAACACTCCGGTTTGAGCCCCGTGAGCTCACCTACACACGTTAGGGTGAAGCTGAAATAGCCTCTCAGGGCTATCAACGTAGGTAGGAAAAAAAAGCTTCTTCTCAGTGGGTCCTAGTTATTGATATTATTTTTAAAACGAAAAAAAGTGAGTGCAGTAAGAATCTTGCTATCTCAGTCGCACTTTCCAATTTTAAAGCGGACTACGTCATATGTTTTCTGTTTATTATTACTCGGTAATCTTGCAGGTTTGAAAGGTTTCTATGTTACTATTTTCTTAAAGGTTTTTTCTCTGTTTAAAAAAGGCGTCTTAATCGCACTCCTCACATTAAATTCATGTACGCGCGAAATATAAACGTTTTGTTAAACGGAAGTATAAAGGCTGATTCCTTGTATTTAAGGTTCATTTTTCCAAGCGCAAGTCCAAGACCAGTAAGTGTAGACAGACGAAAAATCGAATATAACCAACCGCGCTCATAAGTGCACGTTAAATTACGTGCAAAATGAATTAACAAAAAAGAAAAAAAAATGATTCAAAATCCTTTCCCAACAAAGGGTGTCTGCCTAAAAACACCTTTAATTTGAGAACACGGTAAACCACTTTTTTATTTTACCGGCTGCCTCTTTCGAGATGAATTTTCGGAACTACACACACACACGCGCGCTCTAATAAAAATAATGACTGCTTTGTGCATATTTTGATTCAACTAAATGGGGTTATAATAACTTCGTGGCCCACGCCCAATATATGCGTATGTTGCGATTAGGTCAGAAGCCATCAGGCAGGTGTAAGATTTAAAATTTTTGAATGGGACAAAAAATGTCTTATTTAATTCTTTAATTGGTACTAGTGCGTATTTTGATTCATATGACAGCAGTTTTAGTTCGATTTTCGGATCTTAATTCTAAGAGCTCCGACCAGGGGCCCTGAAACTGCGATACTTTAAGACAAACATTTTTTTGTATGGAAACTAGCGACATCTTGTAGCGAATGCCTCTAAACTTATATGTTGTTAAAGTTAAGGTATTTAATTATGGTATAACTAAACACAGAAAATGCTAAAAAAATTATAAATCATACAAGTCTTTATTTGTTATAGAGTATTATAGACAAATTGATTAAATTTTATCAATTTGTAGTTTCTGAAAATTTACAAAATCCATCATTCAAAATAAAATATAGGTTAGGTAATATGTTACTGCCATCTACAGGAGCAATGAGAAACTAATCGAAGCGAAGCCATCTAGTGGCCGACGCCCGTAAACACTTATTGAGTGCTTGAGTTGCTTATTTATAACTCATTTATGTGTATTATCTATGGCTCCGACAACAATTGTAACAACAAATACAAATTAAAAACACGTGTGGCACTCGGGGACTGCCGCGGTAAAGCTATTACATAGCATTTTTTATCGACTTATGCAATTATAATTAGATAATAATAATTTAATATTAAAACAATAATAAAATAAGACCACGCTATATTTATAAACATTAACAAAAGCAAAACATTAACTGTCCCCTTCACACTCATAAGCTAGACAGCGCGAGAGAGAGATGGACAGAATTTTCATGATGCGCATGCAGTGCAACGTCATGCCGCGCGCTTATTCACAAACACTACACCAGCGCAACGTGTGAATGTGTTGAACGTGAGCATAGTAGGCGTAGTGGGGGTGTCAGGTTATTTTCGTTATGGAATTTCCGGATTCGGTCTCCACGCTCAAGACACGCGATAGAAGCTATGCAATAGCTTAAAAAAAAAAGCTTAACTCCTTCTTTGATTCCCACCTAAAAATATTTAAATCGAAAATTAAGTTACACAAAGGGGAATGCCCACTTTCCATAGTGCGCTAGGCCCAAGGTGGACATCAAATATTACTATAAAAATGGACTGATTCAAGTTCTTAAATGTATTAGATATCTAAAAAATTAATTGAAATTGACGCCACTATTATAAAAAATATAATAAAAATAAAAAACTCGTTTTGAGGTTAATTTTCTACATAAATACCTCAAGAACTTTTCTTTTTTTAATGTTTAAGATGTTCCTAATGTATTTTTATCCAATTGTAGTTATTAGGGTATAAAAACACACATACTTATTTAAATATCTATATTATTCTATTTTTTCTTCATCTTCATACACAATTAGTAAATCATCTAAAAATAGCACAGGAGAGCATATACACGGTTTTAAATCTCGGTCAGGTTAAAACCACAATTCACACAATGGTTTTCAGCCGTAGTATGAAACGTTATTGATAAAAGCAAAATAAATCGAAGAAAAATCAAAACACATCCATTTTNTCTATTTTTTCTTCATCTTCATACACAATTAGTAAATCATCTAAAAATAGCACAGGAGAGCATATACACGGTTTTAAATCTCGGTCAGGTTAAAACCACAATTCACACAATGGTTTTCAGCCGTAGTATGAAACGTTATTGATAAAAGCAAAATAAATCGAAGAAAAATCAAAACACATCCATTTTGAACGCAAGCACAAGCAGTAAGCGAAGTCTCAGTCAGTCAGATTAAAATCAGTGTTGTCAGTATAAAGAAAAATAATTACATGAAATTCATATATCGATCATTTTTTTAAATAATCGATATTGGATTTATTTCTTAATCTTTTTTTTACGAGTACACATTATATTTTATTTTTAATGTTTTTGTTTTAGTTGTACATATTTAAATAACAATACAAGTTAAGTTTTTTTTATTGCTTATATGGGTGGACGATCTCACAGCCACCCTGGTGTTAAGTGGTTACTGGAGCCCACAGATATCTACAACGTAAATGCGCCACCCACCTTGAGATATAAGTTCTAAGGTCTCAAGTATAGTAACAAGTTAAAGTCCAATGGGTATGTCTTTGATGTTATTTTATGTCCTTAAAATCGATTGATTAATGATAATATTTAAAATGATTTATTTATATGTTATTTTATATACTTAAAATGTTTACTTAATACGTAAAAGGTTTTGAAGTTGGCAATATTTTTCCCGCAAAAATAAAATTCTTGTTTTTTTCAATAGAGTTACTTTTTTTAAACTACTTATTGTAAACTGTAGTGGCGCTTATTTGGAAGAAAGTAAACGCATATTTATTTATGACAAAATTAATGCACTAAGTATTTTTTCTCTAATCTATTGTCCGCTTTGGGCCTGAAATGGGCCGTCCCCTTTATTTTGTTAAAAAACCAGAACGAAAGTTAATTGGGCGAGTTAAATTGTAATTTAGTTGCACGTGTGTAGCTTTGCTTGAGTCACGTCTCGTTCTACACGTGTAAGCTAGCCTCCTCGGTCGTGTTATGTGACGATAAAATATCGCGCGCCATATTTCTGGTGAGACGTTTGAGCTCGTTCGTTTTAATGAGCTCAACAATATATAACTCTTATGTTATAAAATCATATGTTTATGACTCTGACGTCATCGGACTCGTTTTTTTCTTCTTCTATCTTTCCATCCGCGTCAATTAGTTGTCTCCTTTTGTTGCGGCCATAGCAGCAGTTGTTTCATTACAATTGATTTCATCCTCATGTCTCGTGGCTTACACCGGTCCCCCCGATGGGCGCTTATGGAAACTAACACTTAAAGTGAAAGCTGAGATTGAAGCGCTAATGTTTGAATTATGATTCTGTTACTGCATTCGTAAGATCGCAGGTCTCAGCTCTTGGAACTATGCAATGTCTATAGGTATGTACCGAGGAAGGTTTGAATGTAGACGTGTTTTGTGAATTGTGAAATAATGATGAATCAACTTGGGCGCTGATAAAATTGGGTCATAACATGTGTTCAAGATTGACTTCCACAATGAAGGAATGTCAACGTGCAATCAAAATCAAACCCAAAAAAATAATAATTGCGTAATTAGACGCAGTAACGCGTGCCATTTCGTTTGAGACAACTCATACTGTAGTATCATACTGTAAAATTACCATCGTAGATTACATCCAGACTACTTTTAATCACCGCGTTCATCCAGTGCGTTTCCAGAGATTTTTTCACGTACCATCCGGCTTTGAAATGAGCTCCCCTCTACGGTATTTCCTGATGGCTATAACAGATCTTTCTTCAAACGAAGCTTGACTCTGCCCCTGGCATTGCTGATCTGACAACGAGGCCAATAAAAACAAACTTAAGCCCAAAGTGGGTGGCCACATTCTGATGGGCTCTGATATCTACTTAACACCGGTAGAGCCGTGAGCACATTGACCCATCTACACAAGAAATAAAAACTTCAACGTATATAAGTGAAAAAAATATTGTATGCACAAACCCATTTGCAGTATAAGTTGGTCCCTAGGCGGGTCATAAAAATGATGTAGAGGCTTCGTTAATTTTAGCTGAATGACAGGAAGCGGAGATGTTATAGTATTTTTTTTACTTTCTATTCATACATATAAATAAAAGTGGAGTGTCTGTTTGTAATATTGAAATAACCGCTTTTTACTACATGCATATGAATATATATACGGTACATACACCAAAATAACATTTTTTACAATTTTTGTCTGTCTGTCTGTTTGTTCCGGCTAATCTCTGGAACGGCTGGACCGATTTTGACGGGACTATCACTGATAGGTAGCTGATGATATAAAGAGTAACTTAGGCTACTTTTTTTAGACTAGCTTCGCCTCGCGGCGTCACCCGCGGCACGACAATAACCGTGGGTTACATCGCGGGACTCGGCTATCAATAATAAAATTTAATGTTTCCGAAGCGAAGCGAGGGCGGGTCGTCCTTAAGTCATTAATATTAATTACCCAAAATCTGTAGGAATCGAGTGGAAATCAAAACTCGGCCAATAGTAATCTTTTAAAATTATTAGAAAATAAAATTCAAAAAAAACATAGATAAAGTTTCGAATAACAAATTATTTCTCCGGTTAGTAAATCGGTTCATCCCTGGATAGCTGACGTCATCTAGGTTTCTCATTCAATAGGCTTTAATAAGGCCACCGGGATATCGAACCACAGAGTACCTACGTTCGGTCAAGTCAACAGTATTAAACTGTAAATCAGATTCTACATATTTAAAAAAAATGGTTAAACCTATAGGAAAGAAAATTTGAATTGACAATTTAAAGACCTGAGCTTGAAATTACAGATTAATAAAAATTTTTATTAAATGTCAAACATTCTTAAATACATACGGAAACTACATTTTACGTTTTAATCAAAAATTAAATCGAGGGGGTGTTAAGCGACATTTCGCATGTTACGCGACATTTATCTTTGTAATTAAAAGAGCGTTTTATTTAGTATTAGCATCAACAGTTTGATGTTTTTAATTGAACTTCAATTAAGTTTACTACTCTATTCAAATAACTGAAGAGGTTTTTTCTGATATGATATTTTTGAAAATTTTACTTTGAATAGAGAGCTATTTATAATTACTTATAAATTTAATAAATTTATAAATAGCTCTCTATTTCTAATTTATTAAAATTATTTATATTTATTTATTTATAAAGTTGCCAAAATGTCGATTAAAGCAAACAGCCTTTCACCGATCGAAATAAATCAGCAATTTAGAATTTACCATTAAGTATCTTATCTGTTGTTAGCACTATCATACTGTTGTATCGCTGTTGTATTGTTTTTAGGCTGTGTACTTTGAAATGTTTTTTGTGTACCGACTGAAGTTTGTTTACACTACCGTCGGGCTCGTGACTAACGAGAGAGCCTTTTGAAGTTCATTCAGCCAGCTCAACTGCAACGATTGCTCCTCTAGGGCCCATTGGAAAACCTTTCCTTTTGTGTTCGTGGTCGTTTTGAAAAGTGTTTGGGTTCCACTTTTTCTATTCATAGCCCATATCATAAATGGCCGTCAATAACTATCTGATTGCTTTCAACCCTTGAATTTTTTGCGTAATCTGTAAGGATTCATTTACATCAAACATTTGCGACTTTTTGGCGGTAACGCGAGGAGTGATGTTGTGTGATTTGTATTATTTTGTCTATTTTGTCTTTGTTCAGATTTAAAAGTGTAATAACGGTGGTTTATTAACTGTTTAATATCTGTGAAAGTGCACAAATGTGGGAAAGTGAAACAAAGCCGCTGGAAGTAATTTCTCGGGATCTCTCTCCAAAAAGTCCACTGAAAAAATCTCAGTAAATGACCACCATTTTATTGAAATTATATTTCATCCCATATCATCTCATTTTAATTCAATTCATATTATCATTTTTCATAAAAATAAGAATATAAATTAAAATAAGACATGACTTAAAGGTCTTAGTTACCAGGGTAATATTTATGGGATCAAATCGGTTTTTAGTAATACAAAGAATACTTGAATTTTACGTTTGCGGGATTTGAATGGATTTGATTGTTCCATTAAAGGCGCTGTAGCGGATCAGTCGACTTTGAAGGTCCACCTGCCGAATGGCGGCTTCAATCTGGTACGCGCCTCGCCTGATGAAGACGTGAGGTCGGTGCTGCGACTCGTTGCCTCGAGATTAGCCTCAGGAGAGAGGGTCTACGCGTCCTGTTTTGCTTTACGAGCGAGACTCTCAAACGGGAAGGTAATGATCATATCTTTAAATTAAATTATTCGTTCCAATTTTTGGTCGTATCTTCCCAATTTTATTTGACCCTACCTAAGCTGATAGCCTTGAGAGGCTATTACAGCGTAACCTTAACTAGTTGGTGAGCTCACGGGGCTCAAACGGGAGTGATGCTAATACTGACCCTTGTTGTGTATTGAAACGTCAGAGTACCGTTGACAACTATTAATTAATTAATGTCAATATCTCCTCAACATCTTGCCCTTTTACAATATAAGCGTGATACAAGATAAACATAAAATCAGGGGTTAATTATTATTAATTGCATTCTGCTTATTTCTACTACGAGTCATAAGCGGATAAATATGAGGTGATGAAGGTGATGACAAAGTACTCAACAACCTTAGCTAGAGCAGTGCTTCGCTGAATCTACCGCCGGATCGGAAACGCGACCCCCTGAGAAAGCCATGAAGTGCGATCTAGCCTACAGACACAACACACTGAGTTTCTCTCCGGATCTTCTCAGTGGGTTCCGATTCCGATCCGGTGGTAGATTCAGCGAAGCACTGCTATCAGTGTGAGTAATTCTCTTAGGTTGACCCCGTGAGCACCCCTAACGGTGTGTAGCTGGAATAGTCAGTTAACAGCCATTAGGTAGGAAAAAAAAGTAAAATAGCTGAAAATTGTGCAATCCTTATTTATACCCATCGCTATTCTACACACTCAATAAATTTCTTGTTCTGTTCATATGATATCCGACTGTATAAAAGTAAAGTGTATAAAAAGTAAGAGTCTGAGAAATCTAAATAGCGTGCATCTTTAAATGGTTTTATTAAGGAAAATATCCAGCTTGCCACTCTATGATACTCGCTTGATACCCTGTATCGAGAGAGAGAGAGAGAGAGNGCTTATACAGTACAAGAGAGAGAGAGAGAGAGAGAGAGATTAGGTACTCTGACTCTGGCCTGACTGTAGCCTTGGCGTTTCTGGACTCGCTGTAGGGTTTTTTCTTTAGGGTTTGTTTTCATCACAATCGGTACACGATTTCAATTATCGAAATAAACAATTAAATTAAAAACTAAACATATTTGTGTACGCAAACACTTCTAGATCCGATGGATTCATCAGGACACTCCCGTTTCGGAGTTGTTGACGAAGTGGCCGGCCAGCGAGTGGCGGCTCGAGCTACGAGTACGGTACCTGCCCGCGAACCTCAGGGAGCTCTGCGAAGCCGATCGCGTTACCTTCCACTATTATTACGATCAGGTGAAAATAATAAATAAATAATGATGACACATCCCTAAATGCCCGAATGCACCTAAAGAGGTCACTGGATAATGGATTAATAATAGTTTGTTTGGGTATTCGTTATGGAATACTACATATGTCGTAACTGGTGGTAGGACCTCTTGTGAGTCCGCACGGGTAGGTATCACCGCCCTGCCTATTTCTGCCGTGAAGCAGTAATGCGCTTCGGTTTGAAGAGTGGGGCAGCGGTTGTACTGAACTGAGACCTTAGAACTCATATCTCAAGGTGGGTGGCGGCATTTACGTTGTAGATGGCTATGAGGTCGTCCACATATCCATCTTTCCAAAATTGAATTGGCCCCTCCCCTTAATTTCTTTCTAACTTTACTTGTGACTCATTGTAAACGTCTGAATCGTTAAACATTTTAAAACTATAAGACTTCTAGATTTTATTCATTTGCTATTTGATAGTTCCTTAGGTATATTTGATGATGTACCTTTTTACTGGTGGTAGGATATATTGTAAGTTCTGCTTTGAAGGAAAATACAGCCGTTATAGAATCAAACCTTTTACGTTAGTTCCGCCAACTATTAAACTCCGGATAGAGTGTGATCTTATACAACCAATTACAAATACAAAGTGTGCAATTAAAAAAAATTGATGTTCATATGTTCCAGGTGCGACACGAATACCTCAATGCCAATCATCCTACCGTAGACCAGGAGCTGGCCGTGCAAATATGTTGTTTAGAAATTAAGTGAGTTCAAGAATTGATCATACCGTAATTTATTTTTAATAGTTAGGTTAATATAACTGGATATAATCTGCACACATAAACATTGAATTTATTTAGAAGAAAAAAAATGTATTATAGAATTCACCCTTTTGGGTGTGAACAAATCTTGCATAAGACATATTTGTATTGCATTGCGGCGACACGGGTACTTCAATGCCAATCATTCTACGGTAGACCAGGAGCTGACCTTGCAAATATATTGTTTAGCAATTAAGTGACTTCAAGAATTGATTATACCGTCATTTTTTTAAATCTAAAATCTGCACACATAAACATTAAATTTATTTAGAAAAAAAGTAATACATTATAGAATTCACCCTTTTGGGTGTGAACACATCTTGCATAAGCCATATTTGTATTATATTGCGGCGACGCGGGTACTTCAATGCCAATCATTCTACCGTAGACCAGGAGCTGACCGTGCAAATATCGCACATGCGGTGCGATAACGTCACTTATGCAAATTATGTAATTTTTCAGTAGAAACCTTGGAAAATTTAACATCTTATTATATAATTCTTATATAGTTCTGCTAGGCTATAAAAATAAAATGTTAATATTTAAACTACAACTTTAAACTTCATCAGTGAATGAAAATATCTCTCTCGCTTCAGTAATAACTATTAAAAATGTATTTACTATATAGTTAAGTGTTAAGAAAAATTGCATAAGTGACTTTATAGCACCGTATGTGCGATGTGTTGTTTAGAAATTAAGTGACTTCAATAATTGATTATACCATCTTTTTTTTTATCTAAAGCCTTCGTCAAACAGAACGCATAATTAGCGCGCGTTAGAGCGCTAAACTGACGCCGCGCGATGACGCCGAGATGTGTTGTACTACTATGGTAACATACCGTCAAACAGAGCCCCAGAGAGCGCTATAAGTACGCAGCGCTCTGTCGCGGCGTTAGGACGCTTTGACGTCAGGCGTTGTAATTTTTTACAAATTTTATTTTAGCGTCCGAGTGAATGTTTATTAAAATACTAGATAATGCCCGAAAAAATGATATAAATAGTTAGAAAATACCCATGCTTATACAATGCCACATCTGAATCACTCGATTTCTTAATACTTTTAAATTTTCACACTGCTATCGAAAGGCATTATGATTTGGCGAATGCGTTGCGTCAAGGAGCGTTAGACTCATCTAGTCAATTGGTGTGACATGAAAAGAGCGCGACGTTAAGTACGCGGCGCTAAGTAAGCGTTCTGTTTGACGAAGGCTTAAGAGACGTATTTGTATTACATTGCGTGCTCGTTTAGGTATACTTCTTAAAACAAACCATACATGTTTTCATTGTTGCCCTGCCTCATTCATACCACAACTTCACAATTACCATTGCAGGTACTTTTGTAAAGACATGCAGATCTCTATGGACAAAAAGTCGAACATCGAATATCTGGAGAAGGAGTTCGGCCTGCACAAGTTCCTCCCTAAATCTGTGCTCGAATCCATTAAGCCGAAGGTGCTGAAGAAGGCAATACAACAGCAATTCAAGAAGGTAAAAAATGTTGGGTGCTTTCTATTTAGTGTTTCAAGATGTTTTTTTTTTATTATTATTTTTATTGCTTAGATGGGTGGACAAGTTCACAGCCCACCTGCTGTTAAGTGGCTACCGGAGCCCATAGACATCTACAACGTAAATGCCGCCACCTACCTCGAAGACATGTGTCTAAGGTCTCAGTTCAGTACAACGGCTGCCCCACCCTTCGAACCGAAACGCATTACTGCTTCACGGCAGAAATAGGCAGGGTGGTGGTACCTACCTGTGCGGACTCACTAGACGTCCTACCACCAGTAATTACGCAAACTATAATTTTGCGGGTTTGATTTTTATTAAACGATGTTATTCCTTCACCGTGGAAGTCAATCGTGAACATTTGTTAAGTACGTATTTCATTGGAAAAATTGGTACCCGCCTGCGGGATTCGAACACCGGTGCATCGCTACATAAGATTGCACCGGACGTCTTATCCTTTAGGCCGCGACGACTTTAACAAACAAATTGTATTTTAATTGTCGGGTTGTCTTAATTATGCCGTTTTTAATACGCTTTTATTAGCTTCAGACGTATGTATGTATGTTTGTAACGGAATCTTTGAACATGATTTTGACCCCCTTCAAAACGTCGGATTAACTCGAAATTCGGTATACTTATTAAGGACCAATGACAATTAAATATAAAAAAAAAATGAAAAATTGAAATTCAACTAATAAATGAAAAATAAATAATAGTTTAAAAAACTAACAAAATATGCTTTTATAGGAAATCCAATAAAAAAATAGAAAATCAATTTTAATAAATTTGAATAAAAAATAGTGTAAGAAAAAAAAAAATTGTACAAAAACATGGGGTGCTTTTCAGGATATTATCAAAATAACCCTTCTACTCATATCTGTTCATAAAATATTTATAACTACTAATACTATGCACCCCACGCTTTTTTACAATAAAATCATTTTTTCTTACACTATTTTTAATTCAATTTTTTTTAATTTTTTTTCTATTATTTTTAAACTATTTTGTTTTGTTTTCCAGGTGGCTAATCTAAGCGACACTGAATGCATGCTGAAGTACTTGGAAACGATGCACACACACTACGGGTACGACCGGGAGACGTTCGCAGGGGCCCTCGGCACCGGCTGGTTCATACCGGTCGAACTGGCCATCGGTCCTGATATAGGTTTGAATTTTACGCTTATAATTTAAATGTTTTACGATTTTCAATAATATTTAGATGCTTTAATCCAGCGGCTCTCAACCACTATATCGTGACATGTAAGTGTATCACAAGTATATTGAATGCTTTAGTCTAGCGTCCCTCAACCACTGTGTCGCGACATGTAGGTGTATCACAAGTATATTAGATGCTTTAGTCCAGCGGCTCTCAACCACTGTGTCGTGACATGTAGGTGTATCACAAGTATATTGGGTGCTTTAGTCCAGCGTCCCTCAATCATAGTGTCGCGATACATTGGTGTGTCACAAGTATATTTGAGTCGTCTATTATCAAAGGCGGCAATCTGTACATTTGGACAAAATTTTTTTATTGATATGTCAATACAGATTTATTTGAATATAATCGTCTCCTTCAAAGAATACGGTTCAAAACCTGCATTAAATAAAGGTTAATAGTTAACCTGTTATTTATCTAAGATGTCGTTCCGAAGAGTTTTGTGACTGCCAATGGAATACAAANCTGATCGCGCGTTTCTCTCATTATTGTATTTTCATATATTTGTTAGTCGTTTGTTTTGTGTCTCGTTAATTTGTTAATAATCTGTAGTGTATCGTGTTGTCGTAATATAGAACTATTTCTCGTATTGTTTCGTTTAATTTTTTATATCCAGTAAACTCCAGTCGTGCGTCGGAGCGGACACACACACTTTTTTTATCTAAGAGCCTTTTTTTTTAATAGTTAGGGTCATACAACTGGATAAAATCTGCACACATAAACATTGAATTTATTTAGAAAAAAAATACATTATAGAATTCACCTTTTTGGGTGTGAACACATCTTGCTTATGACATATTCGTATTGCATTACGGCGAAACGGGTACTTCAATGCCAATCATTCTACCGTAAACCAGGAGCTGGCCTTGCAAATATGTTGTTTAGAAATATTATTCTTTATTATTATTCTTTATTGTACACACAGTTAATAAAATATAATCATTGTAAAAAGTTATAAAATGGCGAGCTTAACTCAACAATTGAGTTATCTGCCTAACCGTTTTTAAAGAGGGTGAGCTTTACATAGATGGGTAGAAAAGTACAATCTAATCAATTTTCTTTTATAATATATTTGTGTTACACTGCGTGCTCGTTTAGGTATGCAACTTAAAACAAACTATACATGTTTTCTTCGTTTGCCTGCCTCATTCATACGACAACTTCACAATTACCATTGCAGGTACTTTTGTAAAGACATGCAGATCTCTATGGACAAAAAGTCGAACATCGAATATCTGGAGAAGGAGTTCGGCCTGCACAAGTTCCTCCCTAAATCTGTGCTCGAGTCCATTAAGCCGAAGGTGCTGAAGAAGGCAATACAACAGCAATTCAAGAAGGTAAAAAATATTGGGTGCTTTCGATTTAGTGTTTTAAGATTATTATTTCTTTTATTTTTATTTTTTATTGCTTAGATGGGTGGACGAGCTCACAGCCCACCTGGTGTTAAGTGGATACTGGAGCCCATAGACTTATACAACGTAAATGCCGCCACCCACCTCGAGACATGTGTTCTAAGGTCTCAGTTCAGTACAACGGCTGCCCCACTCTTCAAAACGAAACGCATTACTGCTTCACGGCAGAAATAGGCGGGGGTGGTGGTACTTACCCACGCGGACTCACAAGAGATCCTCCCACCAGTAATTACGCAAACTATAATTTTGCGGGTTTCATTTTTATTAAACGATGTTATTCCTTCACCGTGGAAGTCAATCGTGAACATTTCTTAAGTACGTATTTCATTGAAAAAATTGGTACCCGCCTGCGGGATTCGAACACCGGTGCATCGCTACATAAGATTGCACCGGACGTCTTATCCTTTAGGCCGCGACGACTTTAACAAACTAATTGTATTTTAATTGTTGGATTGTCTTAATTATGCCGTATGTATGTATGTTTGTAACGGAATCTTTGAACATGATTTTGACCCCCTTCAAAACGTCGGATTAACGCGAAATTTGGTATACTTATTAAGGACCGATGACAATTCAATATTTAAAAAAAAATTGAAAATTTGTAATTCAACTAAAAAATAAAAAATAAAAAATAGTTTAAAAAAACTAACAAAATGCGATTTTATAGAAAATCCAATTAAAAAATAGAAAATAAATTTTAAGAAATTTGAATTATAAATAGTGTAAGAAAATATGATTTTATTGTAAAAAAGCATGGGGGGTGCTTTTAAATTTTAAATAATAGGTTGTTTAAAAAAACGAACAAAATACGCTTTTATAGAAAATCCAACTAAAAAAGCATGGAGTGCATGGTATCAGTAGTTATAAATATTTTTTGAACAGATATGAGTAGAAGGGTTTATTTCAATAATATCCTGAAAAGCACCCCACGCTTTTTTACATTAAAATCATTTTTTCTTACACTATTTTTAATTCAAATTTTTAAAATTTATTTTCTATTGTTTTTAAACTATTATTTTTTGTTTTTTTTTTCCAGGTGGCTAATCTAAGCGACACGGAATGCATGCTGAAGTACCTGGAAACGATGCACACACACTACGGGTACGACCGGGAGACGTTCGCAGGGGCCCTCGGCACCGGCTGGTTCATACCGGTCGAACTGGCCATCGGTCCTGATATAGGTTTGAATTTTACGCTTATAATTTAAATGTTTTATGATTTTCAACTATATTGGATGTTTTAGTCCAGCGGCTCTCAACCACTGTGTCGTGACATGTAGGTGTGTCACAAGTATATTGGACGTTTTAGTCCAGCGGTTCTCAACTACTGTGTCGGGACATATTGGTGTGTAACAAGCGTTTGTCAAATGTTTCGTAAGAATAACAAATTGTTATTTTTTATCTAAATTGACTCTGCTAAATTGTATCTCCGGGGTGCATATGTGGATATATACAGGTATTTACTAGATGTTAACCGAACAAATACGTTTGATAGATGAATTGAGTATGATTTAATAATGTATATGAGACTACCGTCAATTCGGCATTTTTTTAAAATGCATATATGTATTTAGTATTACATATAGGGACTTTGGAAAGACTATGGTTTGTCACTGAGTAAAAAAAAAGTTGAGAGTTGCTGCTTTAGTTCATCTAGAATCGAGTACCTACATTACGACGCCCTTTCAAGTAGTAGTAGGAAGTTTTTTCCTATCGAAATGTTGTACGTAATTATCGATAATTAGGATGATACCAGACCATAAATATTTTGCGTTTAACTAGAATCATCTCATTGTGCTCTCCGACACCATCGAACGGTTGAGAATAACTGGAAATATGTGTAATGCGTGCGTGTATAAGTGCTCAATAAAAATCCATTAATTAATACTCGATTTTTTTTTATATGATCGCGCATGCTGTAGATACCAAACATAAAACAAAATCGATTTTCGAATTTCGAATCGATTTTCGATTCGTTTGTAATGTAAATGTTAAAGTACAATAAGGCACAAAAGTGTTATATGCATTATTTCACACAATTCACAGATATATCGTACGTGTCCCACAAGGCCGGCGAGCCACCCACCTACACGAAGATAGCTTCGTTCAGCGACATCGAAGCCGTACAGACGCTCAAGTCGAACTGCACCCAACAATCGCAGACTCAGGTACTTAAGCAACAATCTTTTAGATTGCCATATAACAAAATAAAGTATTCAGGTGTAGTAGGTTTACTGGTGGTAGGATCTCTTGTGAGTCCGCGCGGTGTGAGTCACCACCCTGCCTATTTCTGCCGTGATGCAGTAATGCGTTTCGGATTGAAGGGTGGGGCAGCCGTTGTAACTAGAGACCTTAGAACTTATATCTCAAGGTGGGTGGCGCATTTACGTTGTAGATGTCTATGGGCTCCAGTAACCACTTAACACCAGGTGGGCTGTGAGCTCGTCAACCCATCTAAGCAATAAAAATAAGTAACCAATAGGACCATCGTGCACAAAAGTACTATTGATTTTATATTATAATTATATTAATCTTTTTCATTATATTTTCTATTACAGACCGGTTCGTGCGGGAAGGCAGCGCTGCAACTGCGCGTCAAGGGCGCTGCGGAAACATTGACGATCACTTGCAGCAGTGTAGAGGTATATACACAACTTACATTCCGTTGTATGCTTTCAAGACGTACGGAACCTTGGACACTAAAGACGTTTGGTGACTTCGCTAAGCGAGAAAGGGGGAGAGGGGGAAACGAGAAGGAGGGGGAGGGGTAAGCGAGAGAGAGGGGAGAGAAAGAAAGAGAGGGATGGGGGGGGGGGTGAGAGAGAGAGAGAAAGTATTCTTTATTGTACACCAACAAAATAAACAATGCGAATCATTATATTTATATAAAGTTCACATAGGCAATACTGAACTCTGCCGTTTATAATTCAAGTGACCATATCAATGTTTGGTACGGCCGTGGTCTGATAGGCAAGGCGTACTGTATGTCCATAGTCACGTGCTGAGAAATTCAGCTGTCTGGGACCGGCTACCTCTCTATGCCACCTTTTTTTTTAGGTCTTAATCTTAATCTTAATTTTTTTTCTTATCAGGGCTTACTTCAACGGTCGTTTTTGCTTACAGGCCGCAGAAAGCTTAGCTGATCTGGTAGACGGATACTGTAGACTGGTCACAGATTCTCAAACTTCTCTATGGAATCGAACGAGTAAGTTTGTTAATTTTTTTTCCGTGCGATTGATCTTCTGTTTTTAACTGTCATATTGTAAACAACGAAACGTTTAAGAAGAGAAGGAATATTGTGAATTTTAAATCACAAATCACGGTTACCCCACGATGGGAATTTTAGGACTAGTTAAAGTATTCAGAAATCCGTTGTATAATCATAGACACTCTAGTTTTTATTTCGTGATTTTTTTTTTCATAAGACAACACTTTTATTTAAGTCTTGATGTTTATCGTTTCGGTTATTGTTTGATATTTATTCGTTGTATAAATATTTTTTTTCTTAGCTAACGTGTGGAAGCAACTTAACTGTCAATGCAAAAGTAAGTTACATTTTAATTAATTTTTTTTAGCATTAATATTAAATTATTTTGGCAGAAAGAGGATGTTTGGCGTCGAACCCCGCAGGCCTTTGACGTTTAACTTTTTTTTCTCCCTCCAATATGTACTCACACGTGCTCACAAATAACTTCGAAAAAGACCTTCAAAAAGGATTTTCCCTTGTCTCGTTTCTTAGTGTGAGTAAATCTTAATATATTAAAATTAAATCTAAATTTGTATTCATAGCTCAATATATTAACATGCAGGTGATGGGTTTCATTTTTACTTTTATGCTGATTGAGTTATGACTATTATTGTTGGCACTAATTGGAAGGTCTTCGTCCTGCAATGGCATGATTAGCAATTTGAGCTTAGTGAAGTCGTCGTGGCCTAAGAGATAAGACGTCTGGTGTATTTGTGTTGAGCGATGCAATTTTTCTAATGAAATACGTACTCAACAAATGTTCACGATTGACTTCCACGGTGAAGGAATAACATCGTGTAATAAAAGTGAAACCCGCAAAATTATAATTTGGGTAATTACTGGTGGTAGGACCTCTTGTGAGTCCGCGCGGGTAGGTACCACCACCCCGCCTATTTCTGCCGTGAAGCAGTAATGCGTTTCGGTTTGAAGGGTGGGGCAGCCGTTGTAACTATACTGAGACCTTAGAACTTATATCTCAAGGTGGGTGGCGCATTTACGTTGTAGATGTCTATGGGCTCCAGTAACCACTTAACACCAGGTGGGCTGTGACCTCGTCCACACATCTAAGCAATAAAAAAAAAAGTGATCTCCGCAGCTGAGATGAGCAGCAGTTCGTCAGAAGGGAAGACGAGTTCGTGGGAGGCGAACACCGCCACTCTGCTGTCGGAGGACTACGCAGAGATTGTCGATGACGATGCGGACTACTCTACTCCTGCAGGTTTAATATAGCAGTATATTAAATTAATATTTAATAACAATCACGTCACGTTAACTGGTCCCGTGCTAAGTTCGTAAAGAACTTGTGTTACAGGTACCAGATAACGGAAATAAATGTAAGATTTTTGTTATACACGTACATATATTTAATATACATCCATAACCCTGGAAAAGACATTTATATTTATCATACAAATATCTTCCCTTGGGGGGATTCGAACCCGCGACCCCCTTGTGTAGTGACCATGTCACTTACCACTACACCAGACGGCCGCTATGTAGTAGTAGTAGTAGTATATCATCGTCATCATTATCCTGGTCTTCTCCCAGTCACCTGGGGTCGGCGCAACTTATTTTCTCGTTCCATACTCCTCTATCATATACCATTTCTTCGCTCACTCCCCTCTAACACATATCGTCTTTCACGCAATCCATCCATTTCTTCTTAGGTCTACCTCTACTTCTATATCCTTCCACATTCATAGTTAACACTCTCTTACCAACCTCATTTTCATTTCGTCTCATCACATGTCCATACCATCCCAAACGCGCACTCCTCAGCTTCTCTGTCACAGGTGCCACCTTCAGACTTCCTCCAACATATTCATTCCGTGTTCTATCCATTCTCGTTACTCCACACATCCATCGCAACATTCGCATCTCTGCTGCATGCAATCGCCTTTATAGCAGTATAGAATTTAACCTATAACCGCTTTGTAATAGATGTGATTTTACCTTGACCCGAAATTGCTATTGTTTATTGCGTAAATGGAATAAGGAACTGTCGTACCATATGATTTTAAGCGGTTTTCTGTGCCCATTGACAACATTACACAGGAAAACGTTCATGCCGTTATCGACTTTAAGGCATAACGTTAAAGTCCAAATTGCAATAAATTCGGGTGTGTTAAAACTAGAATGCTTCGAATACGCCGCCACCGATAAAGTAACACTGATGAATGTAGTGTTAAACGTGATGTTTACATCACATAAATATATATCGTATCGTAACGTCGATCGTGTTTTGTCTCTTTCGTTCAAATTCAGCTTCGAACGCGATGGAGAGAGACAAAATAACGTATAAGGGCTAGTTACATTAATCACGTAATATAGCGTAACGCCTGCCGTAAAAAAAGTTATTGTGTAATTTCAGTTCGCGATTACGAATTAGTTCGTAATCAGATCGAGTTGACGGGAATCATTGGGGAGGGACAGTTCGGCGATGTACACAAAGGTAATTGAAGTCTAACAATAACCTTATTTTCAAATTAGGGAAAAAAATACCCAAACATCGGGAAATTTTATACAAGTGCACATTTCTTTTTCTTTATGATAGATATTGTTACGCCAGTAAGAGTAACGCCATCTATCGCCGTATAGTCGAACGAATATCGAAGGATCTAGTAGCACCTAGAACGCTCGAGAAGTACAACGCCATCTATTGTCAGATAGTGGAAATAATACTAGAGATGTGTGGAATATTCTCGATAATTCTAGGGATGAGGTATCGACTATAAAAGCGTTGCAGGAATGGCACGCAGTCAGTCAGTAATCGGAACTACTCGAAGCAAAACAGCGAACGGATCACCTGAAGCGAAGCGGAAGAAGCGAATTGATAGTTTGAAAGTGTTTGTTGAGTGTTTCAGTGTTCTAGGTGTTGAATACGGTGCTAAGTTGTAATTCGGTAGAATTTTTATTTATCCCGAACCCTAGCGCGTAACAATATTTAGAATTGTCGTGACATGTTAAGACACGTTGAATTCAAATGCAGTTTGTTTGAAAACGAAATTAATTTGTGCGCGATCATTCGTGTAATCCCGCAGGCACGTGCCGGGTGACGTCAGCCAACCACCCGTCGCTGCGTCGCCAGCTGTCCATCCAGAAGCAGCAGGGCAAGAGTCAGAGCGGCGAGTACGTGCTGCCGGTGGCCGTGAAGACATGCAAGATGGACGCCGACTTGGACACCGCCGAGAAGTTCCTAGAAGAAGCATGTAAGGAGTTAAATTCATTTAATACCAGACTAGAGGATCTGTCGCACTAATGTAATGTAACTGTGTGGTTAGTGAGAGTTTCTTAACGTTCTCGATAGCGTAAAAGTTAACTCAATTTTGTATGCAGTTAAAACAGCGCCCCTAGCGGCAAACGTAGGCAAACGTTCCAACTCCATTGAGTTAACTTTTACGCTATCGAGAACGTTAAAAAACTCGCACTCATCACACTGGTGACTTCTGAGTTTATATTACGATGTCTCAATTTGTATTGTGTATGGGCATAAATGTTTTATTGAATTCGCATTGATTGTAAATTAATTTGATTTAGCATTTGCAATAAATATCATCGCTTTATTTTAATTACTCGTGCTTCGCCTATTGTACTATGATAGTACTGTGACAGAAACTTCTATAGCGCGAAAAATCACACCGAGTTTCGCTATAATATATATTAATGCATAGAGAACAGATACAAAAATGTGTGCGTGTACTAGTGTACACACGTAAGAAGTGAAACTTGTTTATGGCCTTATTTTTCGAAAAATGATCTACATGCAACTTTCTAGAAATTGGTTAAATAAAGTTAAATTAGATAAAGTTTAAACAAAAGGATTTTATTATCATAGACATGAATACAAAAAAGTTAAATTAGATAAAGTTTAAACAAAAGGATTTTANAAAACAGACGGCCGAACTGACGTGACAATGACATTTGGCGCGCTAAACATGGCGGATTTTCGGCCTCATTAGACGGAGACGGAGACATTTACGTATATTCATGTTTCATTTTATGTACGCACTGAAATACTGTTATATTGTTTTCCTGCGAGTTAAACTGCTGAGTAAGAACGAGATAGATATATGTTTATGTATGTGCCTTCAAAATGGGTGCTATTTATATAAGCAATTGTACGTATAGAACAATATGTCGTGTCCCTACTATATAGGTCTATGAGTTAATACGGTTTTCAAGAGAATTTATGAATAAACTACCCACACTTTTCTACTGTAAATACGAGTGACTAAAGTCGCACTATACGTTCCGGCTCCCGGTAACCGTACTCGTCGAACTCGACAAAGAGGTCGACGTGCAACTTAACCCATGCATCAGCCCGCTGAGTTTCTCGCCGGATCTTCTCAGCGGATCGCGATTAAGATCCGGTGGTAGATTCATTCGCGAAGCAGCTGCTCTTGAGTTGTTAGTGAGGTCTAGTTTAGAGGCGCTCGGGTAGCTGTTAGCAAATCCCACCCCTCCCGGCTGAGCCTTTGCTCGCCCACCTGCCTCCTGGGGAAACTGGAAAAGTCTCTGTGCCACCAAAATTACTCATTCAAAAAAAAAAACATTCCGCCTCAAGCAGTCGTACGGAACGGGTCTATAGTCACTCCATCATATAAAAGAAAATAATTATGAAATATCGTTGAACAGATATAATGCAGCAGTTCTCCCACCCCCACATCATCGGCCTGGTCGGCGTGTGCAGCTCGTCGCCGATATGGATCGTCATGGAGCTGGCAACACTCGGCGAAATGCGGGCCTACTTACAGCAAAACGCGCACAGGTGCGTACTAAAGCGAATCTCACGCGGTTATATTTGTGGGTATGAATAAAATAGGTTTATTTTTATACCAGTGGTGCTCGCATTGCTGATCCCCATGAGCGACGTTGACCGATTACCATTACGTAGGATGTATGGTCGTCTGCCTAAACTAGCAATATAAAAATATACAGTAAGTAATTAGAATAAGTTCTAAATGACGGTAAAATGCGACCGTAATGAAAGTGGTTCCGCAGTAGTCGAAATTCGACTATAATTAATTTAAATTATAAGTTTAAACATTATTATGGTTCTATTGTCAAAGACTATTATACATCTTTATATCACAGATTTCGCCAAGACTACACTTTACAAATTTTAATAACGACAAACAATAATTAATCTATTCTCAATTTGACCACAGACTATAAGCAATAAGAAAAGTTTGACAATAAACAAAGAGTATACATAGGTATTAAGTGTTGTGTCGAATACATGATAGTGTTACACACACATTACTTTTTTATTGATTTAATGTTGTTTTTATGCATTTAAAAAAAATTACAATCTGCACTCCTCAATATTCTCTATAAGTGTTAGAAATTTCATACTCCTCCGTCGACGCAATTTTCGCAAAAAGGGGCACAGAAATTTTTGCTTCACGTGTTAATTTAAAGATATATTAATGCAGGTTGGAGACGTGTCAGCTAGTGCTGTACATATACCAGCTGTCGACCGCGCTCAGCTACCTCGAGAGCAAGAAGTTTGTCCACCGAGACATCGCCGCCAGGAACGTTCTGGTCTCAACGCCCACCTGTGTTAAAGTATGTTTCTTTTTTTTTTAAGGGACTTTGTGACCTGGTAACTATGACCTTTAAGTCATGGCTTATTTTAATATATTTCTTAACTAGCTGACCGGGCAGACTTCGTGATGCCTCAAGCGATAAATAAAAGACCTAAACTTTAGTATAAAATAGACTTAAAACAAACAAAAGGAATCCGACGGACGGGGGACACATCAAAGGGAAAACAAAATTGTTGTTTTTATTCAATTCCGAGCTATTTCATATTTATCTACCTTTTAAACCTTCTCTGGACTTCCACGAATAATTCAAGACCAAAATTAGCCAAATCGGTCCAGCCGTTCTCGAGTTTTAGCGAGACTAATGAACAGCAATTCATTTTTACATATATTTTATGAAAAATGATAACATGGAGTAAAATAAAATGAAAATGATTAATTTGGGACATTAATCAACTGAGATGAAATTAAATGAAATGTGATGAGATGATATGGGATGAAATATATAATCTCAGTAAAATGGTGGTCATTTACTGAGATTTTTTCAGTGGACTTTTTGGAGGTACCCAAGAAGTTACGTCCAGCGGCTTTGTTTCACTTTCCCACATTTGTGTACTTTCACAGATATTAAACAGTTAATAAACCACCGTTATTACACATTTATACCCGAAGAAACACTAAATAGACAAAATAAAACAAAATCACACAACTTTACTCCTCGCGTTCCGTCAAAAAGTCCATGTTTCTTATATTTCTTAATGTGTGACCAATCCATTTAACTAATATGTACTGTAATTATTGTAATTTTTTTTGTGCATCAATAAACTGGTGGTAGGACCTCTTGTGAGTTTGCGCTGGTGGGTACCACCATCCTGCCTATTTCTGCCGTGGAGCAATAATGCGTTTTGGTATGAAGGGCGAGGTAGCCGTTGTAACTATACTGAGACCTTAGAACTTATATCTCAAGGTGGGTGGCGCATTTACGTTGTAGATTTTTATGAGCCCCAGTAACACCAGGTGGGCTGTGAGCTCGTCCACCCATATAAGCAACAAAAAAAAGTAACTTATACTATTTGAAATAGTCTTATTTAACTCTTTGCACTCAAAAGGTCGATTCTCACTTGTTTTGTTCGGAGCGGAAAGGAAATTCAAAGCGCCGTATAAACTAGAGATCCTTACGCGGAAGTGGCATTGGTTTTTTTTATTGCTTAGATGGGTGGACGAGCTCACAGCCCACCTGGTGTTAAGGGGTTACAGAAGCCTATAGACATCAACAATCACCATCTAAAGACATGAATCTCAGTTTTTACAGTACAACGGCTGCCCCACCCCTCGAACCGAAACTAATTACTGCTTCACGACAGAGATAGGCAGGGTGGTGGTACCTACGTCTCCTGCCTATCAAGACGCCGGTAACAGGATTCTTCTGGTTGTAGTTGGCCGATTTCGGGCTATCGAAAATGGTCGAGGACAAGTCTTACTACAAGGCCTCGAGGGGCAAGCTGCCTATTAAGTGGATGGCGCCAGAGTCGATTAACTTCAGGCGATTCACGTCCGCTTCCGACGTATGGATGTTCGGTATGTGTCATGGAGGCAGTATAATATAGTGAACTGAAGTATTATCAGTTTAGTTTTATTGTTATATTTTGTCGTAAGTACTCTTCTTTTTTTCAAATTAAATATGTGTTTACTGGTGGTAGAACCACTTGTGAGTCCGCACGGGTAGGTACCACCGCCTCGCCTATTTCTGCCGTGAAGCAGTAATGCGTTTCGGCTTGAAAGGCGGGGCAGCCGTTGTACTATTACAAGTGAGACCTTAAAATGAAAGCCGCTGATTGAATAAACAGATAATTAAACATAAAGATGTTCTGTATACGAATTACCGCGTGATTTGAGTATCGAACCCTCAATCCTCGATCCAGCAGTCTGGGACAAACCACTCCGCCAGCGAATCAAGCCGAGATACGTAAATCGGCACGAGGGGTCCCGCAATCGGTTTAAAGCTGTACTGTCAAGGGGGATATCGATTTTTTTTTGTATGTGTGGGTGAACGAGCTTACGGGCCATCTGGTGGTAAGCGACTACCGGAACCCATAGACATAGCAGCGCGAATGCCGCCACCCGCTTTGAGACACAAGGTCAAAACCTCAATTTTATACGACATTTTACAATAAGCCCTAACGTCAGTAAATATGGAAATTATATTCTTTGTATCGCACGATTTTATTTCTTCATCGTCTATATGACGCATATATATGCATACACAAATATGTAAATTTGAATGCTAATTTCGGGCAAGTTGACCATAAATTATGTTTTGCTGCACATCCGTGATTTTATCTGCAAAAGAGCGCGTAGCTCTTCTTGAGTTAAGTGACTATTGGAGCCCAAAGACAACGGGAAATTAGTAGATTCAACTTGAGACACCCGATCTTCATGGTATTGTGTGACTTCAAAACTGAGTTGCGGCTGAAGTGAGCAGGATGGTATAGTTATCCGGTCACCGTTCTCGTCGAACCCTCGACGAAGGGCTCGACGAGTAAATTAACCCACAGACACAGCCCACTGAGTTTCTCGCCGGTTCTTCTTAGTGGGTCGCATTTCCGATCCGGTGGTAGATTCTGCGAAGCACGGCTCTTGCTAGGGTTAGTGTTAGCAGCGTCGTCAGGTTTGAGCCCTGTGAGCTCATCTACTAGTTAAGGAGAAGCTGAAATAGCCTCTCAAGGCTATCAGCATAGGTAGGAAACAAAAAGACGTGGGGATTTTATTCCAGAGCCGCATAATGCACAGCAAAAATTATTTGAAACTGGTTATAAATGAACGCAGCTGTTCCAGGCAAAGGTTTTTATTTTACACAAATCCTTGAGTTTTTTTTTGTCATGCCTCTGGAATAAAGTTTTATCAACTGTGTAAATCTTAAACGCTACAACGTGTCATTCTTCTAGCGAAGTCTATACAAAGTTTTTGAAAATAGTACCGGTGATATTATTCATTAGTATCTGTGAAAGTGCACAAATGTGGGAAAATTAAACAAAGCCGCTGGACGTAACTTCTCGGGATCCTCCAAAAAGTCCACTGAAAAAATCTCAGTAATACTACTACTACTACTACTGATCTTATATTTCATTCCATATCATCTCATCTCATCTCATTTCATTTAATTTCATCCCAGCTGATTAATGTTTCAAATTCTTCATTTCATTTCATAATATCATATTTCTTAAAAAAAGTATATCGACTACTGACTAAGCGACAATAACTGCTTTGTACATGTCGATGCGCAAAAAATATATATTTCTAGGTCTATTAAAATCATTTCAATCCTACAGCTAGATTCGTTAAAATATAATTTTTTTCAGGTCTTTCAACTTCAATGTTCACGCATTGTCGTTTAGTCACGTTTGCCTTTCAAGCGTCGATATATAAAAGATTAGGCTGTATGGTGTAATACCTTTGCCTTTCCATTTGGAAAAATAAAACTACTACTACTACTACTACTGATGTTATTCAGGCGTCTGCATGTGGGAGATCCTGATGCTGGGCGTGAAGCCCTTCAGCGGGGTTAAGAACAACGACGTGATCGGCAAGCTGGAGAACGGCGAGCGGCTGGCCCTCCCCCCGCGCTGCCCCCCGCGCCTCTACTCCGTCATGTCGCGCTGCTGGGCCTACGAGCCCTCGCACCGCCCCGCCGCGCACCTCCTCAAGGAGACGCTCTTGTAACTATCCCGCCGGCTGACTTTATACTTTATTTTTAATAAACTTTCACCCCTCGATCTGTGACTACTATGCACCCGCGTGCGACGGGAACCGCATACCGCCATGTAAAGCGATAAAAACTATTGTAGGCCAGTGCGGGTAGATGCCACCGCTCTACCCATGTCTGCCGCCAAACAATCTTATATTACGGCTCGAAGCACACAGCCGCTAAGCAAATCTAGGCTTCGAAGTCATGTTTCAAGATGCGTGGCGATTATTGTGAAGATCACACAAAACCAGTGTGCCACTTTACTACGTTTGCCGCTAGGGGCGCTGTTTCAGCTTCATACAAATTTGAGTTAACTTTTACGCGATCGTGAAGTTAAAAAACACGCACTAAGCACACTAGTGTCGTCAGTACTTCTATAGTAATATTATAAAGAGGAAAGATTTGTTTATTTGTTTGTATTGAATTGGCTACGAAACTACTGAAGTGATTTAAAAAAAAAAACACTGTGGAAAGCTACGCTATCTCCAGGTAGCATAGGCTATATTTATTATATTAAAAAAAATTAGAGATCCTTACTGAAGCTCCAATACTGTAACCCAATGTGTAAAAAAAATACTTAAAATTATTTACATCGCGTGCGCTACTACCCAAGCGAAGCCGGGGCGGGACGCTAGTAAGAAATAATATCGGATTGAAATGCGAATTGAATTCGTCTTCATTACAACTTATTTGATTTGGTCGCGAACAGTGAGATATTGCAAGAGGAGCGCAACACCGCGTGGGACACAATGCGGCGTGAGAACCGACGCGTGGCCGCCGCCTCGTGGGGCGAGCAGCCTCCGCCCAAACCGTCCAGACCTCATACCAACCTCAACGGTACCCAACCCCTTTTTTGTTGTTGTTGCCCTTGTAGGCAGACGAGCATACGGCCCACCTGATGGTGAGTGGTTACCGTCGCCCACGGACTTCAGCAATGCCAGGGACAGAGCCAAGCCGTTGTCTACCAAAATTATTTTATTATATAGGTACATCCATGTTTATTGAACTTTGAATAAAAAAAAACGGCGCGCGTGCAACTTGGTGCACGTGAATGAAGTGAAACTTCTTTTTCGATGTGCGGTACTGTGATTTTCTTTATTAATTTTTCATCCTTAAATCATATTGCTCTTGTAATAGGGAATGCTGTGCGTAAGAGATGCGACATCTTCAACATTTTTATTATAAATATCGCGCTCGCGCTGGCCTGTAACAGGTATACTACGCGCGTGCGTTTGAGTGTCGCGCATTCACTCTCGCTCTGTCTCTTTCTATTCCATGGTAGCGTTAAACGTTTAACGGTGAAACTGGAAAGGCCTACGAGTCATCAATAATCTTTCAATCACAAAAAAAAAGAACGTTTAACGCAGCCATGTTGGAAGTCGCATTAGAAGTTTCACTTCAATATACTAGCGCACGTCTCATTGGAGCCGCGCGGTGACGCCAAAAAGCTCGCCGAGTAGTCTTAATTTTTTATTTTATCTATTTAATGTATCGCATTGTTTATTTATTTTTTGGTGTACAATAAAGAATACTCTCTTTCTTTCTCTCTCTCTCTCTCTCTTATAGTTATATCTATATATCTATATTCTATATCTATAGAAAAATGAATTGCTGTTCGTTAGTCTCGCTAAAACTCGAGAACGGCTGGACCGATATGGCAAATTTTAGTCTAGAATTATTTGTGGAAGTCCAGAGAAGGTTTAAAAGGTGAATAAGTATGAAAATGCTCGGAATTATATAAAAATAAAATAATGTTTTTCTTTCGATGTGTTCATCGTCGGACGGATTGTTGGTTTTAAGTTTATTTTATACAAATGTTTAGGTCTTTTATTTATCGATCGAGGCACTACGAAGTTTGCCGGGTCAGCTAGTCTATTTATATAATGATGTCCAGCAGCAGCGGAGGGGAGCGCGGCGGCGGCGGGCGGGGCGCCGCAGACGTACATCGTGGCGCAGAACCCGCTCGTGCTGGCGCACCTGCTGCGGGAGAACAAGGCGCGCGCGCTCGAGCCGCGGGCCTACACCACGCCCGCCTCGGTATTCAACACCGTCGCAGTAGACTTCGCGGAGACTCTACCGGAGAACGACCCCGCCATCGTCGATAAGATCATCCACCCCAAACCAGACGAGACCATCGACATCCCCCTCCAGACCGCCCCCATCCCCGCCGCCAGCCTGCAGAAGCTAGACCCGGTCGTGCCGCCGCCCGAGGAATCGGACGAGACTCTCACAGTGGTGGTCGGCGCCCGCGAGAGCTGCGACAACCTGTGTCAGAATATGCAGAGTGCGTCTCCCGGCGAGGAGGCCGCCGCGGACCCCTACAGCAACCGCGTCAGGTCTCTGGAGAGGAGCACTCGCGCCCCGCTGTCCACTGTGGAGCGCGGCCCCGTGCGCGTGGGGTCGCTAGAGCGGACCGCACGCGTGTCTCGGCGTGGGTCCCCGGTGGGCGCGGCGCCGCTCGCCCGGCAGCACTCGGTGCCCGCGTCGCCGCCGCCGCGCGCGCGCCGGGACCGCGACGTGGGGCAGTTCTCGGTGCAGGGCACGACCAACGCGCAGCTGGCCGCCAGCGTCGTCAACAAGATGCGGCAGCAGCCCGAGCCGCCGCTGGTGGAGGAGATATACGACTTCGGCGGCGACAACGTGAGGAGCTGCGTGGCGGTGGCCGCCCAGCGCGCCCGGGGGGGGCCGCGGGGGCGGGGGGCGGCGGGGGGCGCGCGCGCGCAGGTGATGCCCGCAGCATGTGTCGGTTGGCCGGCAGTAGGCCCGCGCCCTGTAGATACACCGCTAGAGCATGCTCGTGTCACGGTTTTGTGTTCCTTTCATTTAGTTGTTTCCGCTGGCAAATCGATTTTTTTGGTAGCTGTTTTTTTTTTGTAGTCGAATGTAAATATGTTTTTTTTTTCTTTCGTTGTAAATGAGTTTTACATTTTTTTTGCAGATATTTTTATGTGCGTATGGTTGGGGGGTACTCCGGTAGAATTTTTGTGATTTTTTTTCCAATTATAATTTTTTTTATTTGTTTATATTTGAAGTTGCTTGTGAATTGTCTATTTTATTTATTTAATGTTTGATGCGAATTTTATATATTCGTGTGTGTTCACAAGTAATTTCGTATGACGAACTAACATTGTTGGTGTGATGAAATTCTTTTGCGTGATAATATAAAACATAACTGGGATTCGGTTGGGAAATGTTAACATTTCATATCTCTACTAAAAATAAAATGTATTTTTGTACAAACGAAATCACTAACAGCAGTGTTAGTTCATTGTGTAAATTTAAAAAAAATAAGTGTTTTGTTCATCATATTATATTAAAATAAACATTAATACTTTCTGATTACTAAAAATGAATTACATATAAGGAAAAGGCGTAATTATGTAATCAGAAAATTTTAACTGGTTATTTTAATATTAAATTGCTCATTCGAAACCACGACAAAATTCTTCCAACATAAAGTCTTAGAAATTTCCTTTTAAACTCACCTAATTAGTTGATGATTGCCGGTTTGTAAGATAATATAATATATTGTGTGAATGTTTCACTACCTGTAACTATAATTATAATTTTTTCAATTTCAAATATTAAAAAAAAGATAACATATTCATTTTTTAAAGGTATTTAAATAAAAAGTTTATCACGTCCAACATCCAACCTAACCTTTTTTTATTTTTTATTGCTTAGATGGGTGGACGAGCTCACAGCCCACCTGATGTTCAGTGGTTACTGGAGTTCATAAATATCTACAACGTAAATGCGCCACCCACCTTGAGATATTAAGTTCTAAGGTCCCAGTATAGTTACAATGGCTGCCCCACCCTTCAAACCGAAACGCGTTACTGCTTCACGGCACCAGTAATCTGACTTGTGTGTTCGCCTACGCAGAGTCCGGAGTTTGACACGGAGCAGGCGGTGGAGCGGCGGCTGCTGGCGGAGCTGGCGCGGCAGCAGCACCAGAGCGAGGAGGACCGGAGGTGGCTCCAGATGCAGGAGGACAACTTGGTGAGCAGCACAGTATATATCGACGCTTGAAAGGCAAACGTATTCGATGCGCAAAAAAAAATTCTTTCTAGGTTGAGGATCCGGCTCGAAGGACCAAAATGTAGGGTGCGGTGTGAGTTTGTTATTCAAAGGACAATGCCCATTTTGTATGGGCGTTTGGGCCCCTAAAAAAAGTTGACCTGTCATGATGGTTTTAACTTAATTTGATAGACAAAGAAATATCGTTTCGTCTTCAGAAAACGATTTTTATATTCTCACCCAGGTTTAAGAGAAATCTGTTTTTTTCTGCAGCTAAAATTAAGTTGTTAATTGTTTTCTTCGAAATCAATAATCGCTCTCATAATTATTTACAGTATTAAATAAGTTAATTGTGGTTAATGTTGCTAGAAATAAGCCCTTACGTACATTTTATTATTATTATATCCTCATATNTTAATTGTGGTTAATGTTGCTAGAAATAAGCCCTTACGTACATTTTATTATTATTATATCCTCATATTAATAATAAAATGAAATGAAAATCCGGAAGCCGGCAACGATATTGTTGTTGTTGTTTTTAAATTCACCAATAAGCAGGCAAAGAGCGTAGCCTATACAGCCTAGTCTGTCGAAGTTATATATTTTTTATGTCAATAAAAAGACGGTGTATCTCTTTTTATTGCTTTTTGGGAGTTTTGACGTCAACTCGACGAATACTACATTGACTGAGCATGAGTTTACGCAGACCTTTTATACACAATATTACAAATACAAATAATACAAATTACACAATAAACTATTAAAAAACATTAAAATAAAAATTCAAGTTACGCTTCACTCGGGTTGCTGCCAAAACTCTCTGATCATATATAATAAGAATAAAGTAATGGTAGGCCATTGATATTTTTACTAATGGAATCATTAATATCTAAAAATATTAAATAATTAATGGTTTTAAGTATTGAATTGAACAAAAATAAACTAAGAAGCCTGTGAATTATAAGCATAGCTATTTTTTTTTAATTTGTTGTTCAAGTCACAAACAACTCTTTCGTTTGATGATGATGATTTATTATTTTATCCCTGATGGGAAAGGCAAAGGACTTTAGTCCATACAGCCAGGTCTTGTTTTTGGTAATAATTGGAGAATTTTGGTAGTTTTTTAAAGGCCGAAGCCACGTCTTCATTTTTCTTGATCGTAAGGCCGAAGCCATGTCATGTCTTATCGTTATCATATCATATTATTCTCGGTCATAAGGCCTAAGCCACTTCTTCGATGTTTTTAATTGGTCGATGTCAAATCCTTAAGCAATAATAGGAGAATCCAAATAAAAATTATCTATATTTCCAGGTGCTCTTTCGTTTGACAGCATATAGGTTTGCTATAAGGCTGTATGGGCTAAGCCCTTTGCCTATTGGCGAATTTAAAAACTATGGCATGGATAGTTTTGGGATGTTATCAAATAAGTAATTTATTTTTTTGGAAAACAATGCCAGCTTGAAAGAAATGTTGATACATAAACTAAACAACGTGAAAAAATAAGGCATAGTTTTTCAAGTACAAATAGCTTAGACATAAAGTTGGCCCACTTTTGGGCATTGTCCTTTAAAGTAAATCAATTAAATGTTAATGTTATGAATGCACCCGGGTGACGCGTTTGCTGATCGTGCACTAACGATTTGTGGAAATAAATTTAACGCGTCACGCGAATTATGCTGACAAAGGTGTTCAGTAATATATTACCGGTATATAATATATTACCGAACACTAGGTCTATTAAAATCATTACAGCTAGATTCGTTAAAATAAATTTTGTGTTCAGGTATTTCAACTTTAAATTAGTCTACTGTAAAGTTCACGCATTGTCGCTTAGTCACGCCTTTCAAGCTACGATATATATAATATATTATATCTAATCATTTTTAATTATTTAGTTGGGTAGACGAGCTCATGGCCCACCTGGTGTTAAGTGGTTACCGGAGCCCATAGACATCTACAAGGTAAATACTGTCACCCACCTTGAGACATGATTTCTAAGGTCTCTCTTTTAACAGTACAACGGCTGCCCCGCCCTACAAACCGAAACGCATTACTGCTTCACAGCAGAAATAAATAGGCAGCGCGGTGGTACCTACCCGCGCGGACTCACAAGAGGTCCTACCACCAGTTTTTTCTAATAAATTTTTTCGTTTCTCAGAAAAAGAGATTGTCGAGCGTGCAGCCGTGTCCGGAGTCCGATCCCGCGCCCGCGGAGCCCCGGCCTCCCACTCAGCCCCATTCCGGTACGTCCGTCCGTACGTGAACATCGACCCACGATATACATACAGCGACGGGTGAAAGGATATTTGATTTACGCGACGTCTTTGCAATTTCTTTGCGGTAGGCAGCGGCTCGGCTCTGTCCCTGGCATTGCTGAGGTCCATGGGCGACGGTAACCACTTACCATCAGGTGGGCCGTATGCTCACGTCTGCCTACCAGGGCAATAAAAAATCTATACATATAAATAAAATTAGAGTGTTTGTAATATTGAAATAACCAGCACATACACCAAAATAACATTTTTTACTATTTTTGTCTGTCTGTCTGTTTGTTCCGGCTAATCTCTGAATCGGTTGGACCGATTTTGACGGGACTTTCACTGATAGGTAGCTGATGAGATAAGGAGTAACTTGGGCTACTTTTTTTAGACTAGCTTCGCCCCGCGGCGCCACCCGCGGTACGAGAATAACCGCGGGTTACATTGCGGGACTCGGCTATCAATAATAAAATTTAATGTTTCCGAAGCGAAGCGAGGGCTGGTCGCTAGTAAAAAATAAAATCACAGGAGAGCCATTTAAAAAGCGTAATATTTAGAATAAAAATATCACAACAAAAAAAAATCTTCAATTATTTCAATGGAGAGACCAAATAAGACCAGAGAGACCAAATAAAATGCACATTTAATTACAAAAGATAAATGTCGCGTGTTAAACGAAGTGTCACTTAAAACAAATAACCTTTAGTCCCTCGTCGATACGTGAATTTTACTTTTTTCATAATTTTACACTATGTAGAACAGAAATTAGTATTTGAAAAGAACCATATTCTTTTTTTTTTTTTTTAGTACAGTGGACGATCTCACGGCCCACTTGGTGTTAAGTGGTCACTGGAGCCCATAAGCATCTACAACGTAAATGCCGCCACCCACCTTGAGTTATAAGTTCTAAAGTCTCAGTATAGTTACAACGGCTGCCCCACCCTTCAAACCGAAACGAATTACTGCTTCACGGCAGAAATAGGCGGGGTGGTGGTACCTACCCGTGCGGACTCATAAGACGTCCTACCACCAGTTCAGTGTTGCTTGAAGTCTTGAAAAAATTCCTTTAAAATTTCAGCTGCAGACTCCTCAGAGACAAGTCCAGCGAATACCGTTAAAGGTAGAGACAAATCAGCCAGTGATGAGAAGGTATGTTGACAACATTTTAGCGTAAGTGATAAAGAATCTTTAGGGGTATTCTTATAACAGCTCTTCTATAACTAACTCTTCTGTAATAAGTAGTAATAAGAGCTTTGTGTGGACTTTTTGGTGGGAACGCGAGCAGTGAAGTTGTGTGATTTGTTTTATTTTGTCTATTTAGTGTTTTTTCAGGATTTAATGTGTAGTAACGGTGGTTTATTAACTGTTTAATATCTGTGAAAGTGCACGAATGTGGGAAAATGAAACAAAGCCGCTGAACGTAACTTCTCGAGATCCTCCAATAAGTCCACTGAAAAAATTTTAGTGAATGATCACCCTTTTACTGAGATTATATTTCATCTCATTCCATTTCACTCCAATTTATCATTTTTCATGAAAATAAGAGTATAAATTAAAATAAGACATGACTTAAAGGTCTTAGTTACAAGGTCATAAAATCCCTAAAAAAAAATAGTGATAAGGAATCTTTAGGGGTTTTCTTAAAACAGTTTCTTCTATAACTAAGGCCTTGTTCGCACTGCGATATTTCACGGCGCGTTTTTTTCTCGTAATTATGTAACACATTTAATCAAGACATTAATATCTCATAGATGGCGCTGTGTTAAAAATACCAACGTTTCACATAAGCTACAATTTAATGGCATAAACACCACGTGTTACTGAGGCTAAAGTATAAGTGAAATTTATTTCGTAGTAAATGCAATACAATGAAATCCAATTGTTCTTACGTTGTCAATTTTTGGTATTAGCATAGCCGGCCGCGTGTTATATAGAAACAAAAACCTTAGCCACAGCAACGTGTGGCCGGGTCTGCTAGGTATATCGACGCTTGAAAGGCAAACGTGACTAAGCGACAATGCGTGAACTTTACAGTAGACTAATTTAAAGTTGAAGTACTTGAAAAGAAATATATTTTAACTATTCTAGCTGTAGGATTGAAATGATTTTAATAGACCTAGAAATATATTTTTTTTCCGCATCGAATATGGTTATTGCCTATCATTTATATATAAAGTAGTTATTGTCGCTTAGTCACTTTTGCCTTTCAAGCGTCGATAGATATATTTATATATATGAGTCGCAATAACAATACCGGCGCGTGTGGTCGTCGCAGCGCTCCCGCAAGAGCGAAGACCCCGTGTACGTGGCGACGACGGGCGTGGTGCGCGGCGTGATGCGGCTGGCGGCGGGGGGCGCCGGGGGGCCGGGGGGGCCGGGCGGCGGGGGGCCGGGCGCCGTGCTGGGGGCCGTGCGCCACGTGGGCGCGGAGCTGAGGACGCTGTGCGGCACCGTGGACCTGCTCGTGGGGCTGTACCCGCCCGCCGCGCAGAGGTACCTTACAATTATTTGTCTCTCTCACGACATACCAACTTTTCGCTACAGAACCAACTCAATTAACTGTGTTATTAAGCAGTAAAAAAAGGGCTGATAAAATCTTGATAACATTTAAATTTAACGATAACACACCAGTTTATCAATAAAAAAAGGAGTTATCGAAATAGTTCCTTCTAGAATATGACTAAGGTAACGCATATAAAATAGCAGCCGAATTGATAACATGCTTTTTTGAGATCGGTTCAATAATTCACAAACCCACGTTCACTTTAATCGATGCGTATTGCAGAGAGGTCGAAATGGCCCATCAGGTCCTGAGCAAGGACATGGCGGCGCTGGTGGAGGCCATGCGTCTAGCCATCCAGTACCACGACACCACGCTGCACCATGAGTACACCAAGTACGTATGAGGTGCCGTGTGACGCTGCGCCAGACCCGAAGTGGGGACTGGTTCCTTTTGAGTGAACACGTTTTTACTTCTCTCTTTTTAGAAGAGAGGGATAGATAACACAACTAACTCTACAAAAAAAAATTGTTCTTTGTCCAAACTTTTCTACTAGGTTTTTCCGGTTAATATTCACAAAAACGAAAATAAAATAATTTTTTTTTGGTATAAAATTTGCTTTTGTGATAGTTATAGTAATAATACTCATTTTAAAATTTTGTTATTAATTTTAATTGATTTTAATATTTTCAAAAAAAAACCGCGCTATGAGAGTGGAGTGTTTACGTTTACACAGTGCCACTAGATGGCGCTCGAGTCATGAACAACGATCAGGTGTTTTGTACAAGCCCAGAAAAACTTAAAATGTCACGAAAGTGTAAATACGATGCTGATGCATTTTGTTTCATATGTGGTCAATTTATTAAAGTTCAAAAGCAAACTGTTTCATGCCATGTATTTCTTGTTTCGTCTAATTACGATCTAAAATATCGAAATTTTATGCTTTACAATCAAAGTCAAATTTGGTGTTGACCCGTGTAATCAGACTTAGACTTCGACACACAATACATCGTCTTCTCGCATTAAAACTGTATAATCTCAAAACTTACTAATTTTGCAGGAGAGCGTTTTAAAGGTTTAAGTAACATATTGTAATATTTTTAATATTAATCATCTTGCAACATTTATTATTTCATTTTTACCAGTTACATTATCTGTCTTTTAAAGTAAGATAAAATTATATATTAACTAGCTGACCCGGCAGACTTCGTAGTGCCTCAATCGATAAATAAAAAACCTAAACTTTTGTATAAAATAAACTTAAAACAAACAAAAGGAATCTGTCCGAAGGGGGACACATCAAAGGAAAAACAAAATTATTATTTTTATTTAATTCCAAGCATTTTCATATTTATCTACCTTTTAGACCTTCTCTGGACTTCCACGAATAATTCAAGACCAAAATTAGCCAAATCGATCCAGCCGTTCTCGAGTTTTAGCGAGACTAATGAACAGCAATTCATTTATATATATTATTATATAGATTTTATTAATAGTAGTAAAATATACATAAACTAAAAAAAAAAACTAAAACTAGCCTACGCTCTTTTGACAGTATTTATGAGAAAAATACTGGTGATGATACTAAATGATTCTGCATATTAACTCAATTCCGAATATTTTAGGAAATTGTACACTTTTAATGCGAAAATACGTAACATATTGTGTTACGGTTTTTAATTTTATTGATATTTTTAAATTGACAATCATCTCTTTCAGGAGCATGCTTGCAGCCGCCCACGTGCTGGCGATGGACGCAAAGAACCTCCTCGACGTGGTGGACTGCATCAGGGACCGACTTCCGAACATCGACTGGCGCGCCGCCCTCGCCGAGCAGCCGTCCCCGCAGCCCCAGAACCAGACCCTCACGTCGCAGAACCAAGTGTACGCGGCCCAGAGCGTCACCTTCACACCGCAAAACCCGATTCTCAGTAATCAATCATCGGTGCAAGAAGAGGAGATCCCTCCCCCGAAGCCGGACTTCAAAATCAACCAGCCCGTCACCACCAGTCAGATAGTCGTCACCGAGCACGTGCCTAAAGAGCACAGCAGTCTCCCCGCCACGTCCAATAGAGTTTCCGCCCTCATACATAACTACAATTTGTATGGGAACGTCAGAGATCAGCACATATATGGCAACACTGAAGTCGTCCCGCTGCACCACTCTGTGTCGGTCGACGATTCCAGGATCGACGCGACGTCCACGGAGACGGTGAGGAGTCGAGTCCAGGCGATAAGCGGCAGACTCGATACGCCGCCCCTGTACTCGGTCAGCAAAAAGATGGCGGTCGATCAGAACGTCGGGCACAGCGATCAGGGGTGAATGTTGCCAGCTTTAAACGAAGCCGCTTTTGTAGTAGATTTTTACTCCGCGTGGAGTTTCGACAGCTTTACATCATTTTTTTTAAGGCTATGACATAGAGTGCGATGTTAGAATGGACTAGTCTAGTAGTTACAGGAACATACGGCTCAGGAACCGTAACATTTTCTATTAATTAATTAATTAATTAATTAAAATGATAATTTGCCGCTTTTACTTCATGCTACTTCACTATTCAAGGCGTACAAATAATATTCTTTATCGATAAAAAAAACACGTCATACTATTTCCTACCACATATCGCCTTGTCGTATTAAAATTGTACAATTTCTAAAAATATTTGAAATTGAGTTAATATGCGTAAACGTTTGGTATTTTTTCTCATAAATACTGTCTCAAAAGAGCGTAGTTTAGTTTTTTTGTTTTTTATTTATTATCTATGTTTTGACAACTATTAAGAAAATGAATACATAATTTTAACTTACTTTAAAAGACAGATAATGTAACTGGTAACAAATAAAAAATAAATGTTGCAAATATAATTAATATTAAAAATATTACATGTACATAAACCTTTAAAACACTCTCCTGTAAAATTAGTAATTTTGAGATTATACAGTTTTAATGCGAGAAGACGATATTACATTTCATTGAAAAGTTTATTCACACATACATAAAATTTTAATAGTTAGATTAACAATATTTTTTTGCTAATAGCTTTAATACGCAAGTAATACGGTTCGAATTCATGAAACCGGTTGAGGAAGACGTTAGCTTCAACAAGTACTGTGAATCGTAAAGCCATTAACGAAAAAAATATTGAACACTTTTAATAATGTGTTAAAATCGTTTTAGTGAAATTAACATATCATCGCTATTGTTGTGCTTCAAAATAACTTATCGTGTTTCGTGTATGATATGATAATATCGACGCTTGAAAGGCAAAAGTGACTAAGCGATAATAACTGCTTTGTACATAAATGATAGGCAATAACCAAATTCGATGCGCAAAAAAAAAAATTCTAGGTCTGTTAAAATCATTTCAATCCTACAGCTACTAGCTAGATTCGTTAAAATAAATTTTGTGTTCAGGTATTTCAACTTTAAATTACTCTACTGTAAAGTTCATTGTCGCTTAGTCACGTTTGCCTTTCAAGCGTCGATATGGACTTTTATTTTTCTCTTTATATCAATGTTGTCGGCTAGTAGATAATCTTCAAAAATTTCTTTCGTACTTAAATACCAAATATTTATCTCTTTTACTCGTGACCGGTTGGATTCAGTCACACTTGTTCGAATATTTAAAGAAACCATTGTCTGTCTACTGTGTTTTTTTTGTTAAAACATGATTTTGGAGATTTTGTCTACATTAACATTGTCATTTTCATAACACCAATAAAAAAAAGCGGCTCAATTTTTTGTAGATTTCGTTCGGAATGTTCTTGTAAACATAACTCACATAACTCAATAATGAAAAGTCTACGGATAAAATTGATTTGTGATAATATTGCCAATAACGACCTAAAATACAGTATAAGGATATACACGATATAATATGCACATTCCTCAATAATTGCACCACTAAACGTAAGTATTAATTATTTTTCGTACAGATTTTACATTTTTTGGTGTTGGTAACACCGTTTTGTACCGTTTTAACATCATAAGCTAAGGAATACAATAAACAGCCACAGAACAAACATTGAAATTATTCAAGTATTAACATTTTGTATTTAGCGTGTCATTATAATGTATATTTTCTTTCTTTAAGTATATAATAATACTACGTCACAATTATGCATTTATCTTTTAATAATGCGCAGGATTTGCTAATTTCCTTTGTAAAAATGTATAAAATTAATTTTATCAATAACGTTATGTGTGTTACATTGAACACCTTATCCAAAGCTATTTTAAGTTTAGATCTCAAGGATTTTTCTAGATTTTTAGAGATTACTTTGTAAAATGGACTAATTTTTGTAATAGTAAATGAAAAAAGAATTTATTTATTAAAAGAATCTACGATTTTGTTTGTATAGTTGATTTTATAATTATAGTTTTTGTTTGAGATGTCTTGGGATAATGAGATAACACAATGAATTAAAAAAATATCTAACTACTCTCAGAAAATACTCCAACAAAATGAATAGAGCATAAGTGTCTCATTGTTTCAAAATGTTGAATTGTATTCGAAATGTTGTTTTTGAGGGAGTCAAATAAAGAATTTGATTAATGCCACATTACCTAAAACTACTTTGGATAAAAAAAAATTTCTAATTATACAGAGTACACTAAAATATAACCTCTATGATTCAAATATGTTTATAAATCAAACAATATTGCGTTACTGCATTTTGCTTAATTAATCTGTGGCATTTCAATAACCTTTTTCTCAGAACTGATATTTCAAGAAAATGTGGCATTACGAAGTCATTGTTAAGCCGTCAGTAGTGTAAGCAGGATGTCATTCCAAAGTATATCATATAGTAAGAGATAACCGTAGTTGTAGTGGTGAGCTGCCCGAGATAACCGACTGTACCCCGAGGTGAACCGGATTCTGTTTACGCAACTAAATAAAGAAAAAAAAAAAGAAAACCAGTGGCATTTTTATTTATACTTATCTATACTTATTAATATTATAAAGAGGAAAGATTTGTTTGTTTGTTTGTATTGAATTGGCTCCGAAACTACTAAACGGATTTGAAAAATTCTTTCACTGCTTGGAAGCTACACTATTCCCGAGTGACATAGGCTATAATCTTTTTTGATAAAAATTAGGGATCCTTACTAAAACTCCAATAATATAACCCAAGATGTAAAAAAAATACCTAGAATATTCTTTACATTGCGCGCTCTGCGAAAACTATTGATGGATAGAATAAAATAATAATGTACTACGACTTTGTAGAATACATTATTATTTACAAAAATAGTCACGACAGCATATGTCTAACTATTATAGTTATGCCGCAATACGTGTTCTTTTATTTAAAAAAATAAAACAACGTCAAATATCATTAATTTTTTTTGTTAAAGACCCGAGCGGAGCCGGAGCGGGCCGCTAGTTTTTAATATAGTTACGGAGTCACGATCTGCACTAGTGAAGAAACTGTTAAGAAGTTCGGAGACACGGGGTTTTTGTTTTTGATGGTCGCACGCATCAGCTCTCCTACTCTTCTCGTTGAGCCCGTCCCTTGTGAAGAAGGGCTCGGCAAGTAAATTAACCCATAGACACAGCCCACTGAGTTTCTCGCCGGATCTTCTCAGTGGATCGCGTTTCCGATCCGGAGGTAGATTCTGGGAAGCACTGCCCTTGCAAGGGTTAGTGTTAACAATGCCGGCATGTTTGAGCCCCGTGAGCTCACCTACTTGTTAGGTTATGCTGACAGCCTCTCAAGGCTATCAGTTTAGATAGGGAAAAAAGAGATAGACGGTGATGGTCTTCATGAATTGCTGGATTCACACAGTCCAAAACTTATAATTGTCGGGCCTATAGAAAAGCGAGAACATTAATAAGGTAAGGAACAATCTGTTTCGTTAGGCCCAGTTGAATTAAAAACTTCAAATGACGATGTTGCAAAATTAAAAAAAAGGTCTGGTTTGGTTCAATTGAAAAGGGATTATAAATATTAAAAACAAAGTCCAATGAAAAGCGCCTTTCGACTACAAAAGGGCGAATCAGTGTTGCCACCTCAGATTTTTTTAAGGCGCTAGGTCAAGAGAAAAATGTCACCAGATTTCGGAAATTTTGTTAATAAAAAAACCACCAGATTCCGCTAAATTTTTGAACTTGAATCAGACTAAAGAAACCCTAATGTTTGATTCATGAATCAGACTAAAGAAACCGATGATGTTTAGGGCCAGTTTCACCAGTTCCGTACTAAGAGATATCTAATATTGATTATATGAGTTTTGAATGAACGATTCGTTAGCTATAGACTACGGGAACTCATCTGGAGCCTGTAAAACTCGCTCCTAATATTCTATGGGTAGTAAAATAAAACCACATTAATGTGTTTTATTTATTATTAATCAGCAGAGTAAGAATAAGAATTAGAAGAATAAAAATCAAGAGAAAATGTGTGTAAATTAAAATTCTAGTCTATCAAATGAAAAATCTTCTACAGCTTCATCATCATTCTTACTCGTAGATGCTACCAGCGACGATGTCGACGCTAAAGGTGTTAATGGCTGTAGTCTTGTGGTTTTGTAAGATTATTTTGTGTTTAGACCAATAGGTGCTATGGCATCGCTTGGTAATTCATAGTTGAAACACTTTGCATCAACAGCTTTAAGCCTATTTTTTATAAAAATAGTAGCATTTAAAAGTGGACCAGCCATCCTATTCCGCAGTTTACTTTTTACAATGTTCATTACATTACACTAAATACTCTTTCGATACCCGCATTAGAATGGGGCAAAATAAAAACAAAATATTCATTAACAAATGACCTCTCCAAGGAATTCCCCGGTTATAGAGTACCTAAGCTGAAAACATCATCATGAAATTTCGGAATATTAGGAGATTTCCCTATTAAAAGTATGTTGCCAGATTCTTATTGAAAAATCGCCAAAAACCACTAAAAATAATAAAAGCGCTATATAATGAAATAATACCACTAAACGCCTCGAAAAATCACCAGTTCTGGTGGAAAAACCACCAAGGTGGCAACACTGGGGCGAATAAAAAAATTACTGACCCGCTATAAGGAAATTTTCGGTAACAAGAAAAACTTAACTCGTCTGGCGACATTGTCAGAACTTATGAAACCTTCGACGTCATAATCACTTCAGCTTACGCTGTTTTAAAAATTAACATGATACTAAATATGTTTCTTTTGAATGATTAAATTTGAATAATTGTTTTATAGATATATGCATAAGATATTGCAATATGCAAACACGAATTTGACTTATACGATTATCGCTCAATCTCACCTGTCGCTTAAGTTTGGGGTATTATTGGTACCGGGATTTCGGCAATACTGTAAGTATGTATCAAAATCACTACTCTAGAATGACATATCGTATATATGTACTATATATACACTGTAATTTTTTTTTATTGCTTAGATGGGTGGACGAGCTCACAGCCCACCTGGTGTTAAGTGGATACTGGAGCCAATAGACATCTACAATGTAAATGCGCCACCCACCTTGAGTTAAAAGTTCTAAGGTCTCAGTAGAGTTACAACGGCAATATATGAGATATAATAATTAAGTATTAAGTTTGTATGATAAGAGTTTAATAGAAACTAAAATAATTATACCATCTAATTATTTTAAAGTTTCTATTAAACTCTTATCATACAAACAAAACTACGTTGTTTTCCCTTTAAGCTATGCAATACCTATTAGAAAACATTACT